GTGCAGTGGCCCGATGTCACATCTTGACGTCAGTTCCCTTAGTGCAGGCGCACCTGTTCCGTTATCTGCTGACATTGCCCAGGGTCGATACCTTATAAAAGTCTGCATTTGTAAAGGCGTCAAATATGCTGTTATATGACCATGAATCTGCAAATTTACATCGTGCAGCCGTGCAGCTTTTAATAGTTGGGAAGCGGGAGATCTCCACTCCACCCCCCCCCCCCCAACTGCATTCTGTACCATTCTGAAGTGCACACACTGGACAATAGAAGTGTCACCCCTACTGAACCAATACTTTGGGGGAGATAAATGACTGTGGAATGATATGCTCCTGGTTTCATTTTATTAACATCAAATATCACAAAAGAAATAGTTCTTACTGAACAATTCAACTGTATTCTGACGTTGCTTATATTCCGCCTCTTCAGGTTAATAACTTTGATTACTTTGATTCAGGGGGGTGACACTTCTATTGTCCATTGTGTGTACATCATGCAAATGCAAATAAGTTTGAAAATCCCCAGAATTTTGCCATCCACAGAACTAATGAAGCTCCACGTTCACCTTAAAAACGAACCCCTTGTGTATTTTTTCTGGAGCGTTCCTGTCGTTGATACTTCTGTTGGAACGTAGGAAGATGGTCGCGGGTAAAAATGACTGGTCAGTCATTTTAAACTGTATCAGCCTTTAAAAATTTAATCAAAGGTTGAAATCAAAGTGCTGAGAGGGATAGATAAACGAGACGAGAAATTTACTTATTTTACTTACTAACCTGTCCAGTTATTATGTAGGAAATGAAGTACTTGAACAATTGGGACTAATTTGCTGAAATGTGGCAGTCGAGAAAACCCATTTTGGCGGGTAAATCCCATGGATTTCCCCTTTAATCTACCCTTATGGCTGACGTGGAAACTTACCGATGTCTAAATTTAATAACGGACCTGAATTTACCTTATATTGTTGTGTGATAATGGAATTCTAAGAATGGTGACGTGTCAGCTTTGTATAAGAGAAGTATAGGATAAGTTCTCATGTACTCGGTAATTTAGTTTTAGCGCTTATAATGGATATTACGCGGATGTTGGTCGCCTACATTTGAAATACAGCTGTTTTGCATTTTCAATATTTTCCAGTAATGTTTTTATTGTCGAGACGATGTGATCTGCATTTGCATTTTTATGAGTGTCTTTCTTTTATTGTGTAAAGATTTATTTAAATTGATGCGGTGAATAATTTGTAAAGTTAAGCGCAGGCATACACTATTAGTGCATTAGTTTCTCTTTCTAGACGCTTAGATTTACTTCTGTTCTCCTTTTTTTTTTCAGAAAGAGTTAACAAGATGTGGCCCTACTTAATCGGAGTAACCTGTGTCCTGCTTGGGATCTGGATATGGTAGGAAAATTGTGTGCGCCTTTCTACTCCTATGTGTTGTATGTCATGTGTGCTGTTGTGTGTGCGAGCACATTTTTTTTGTCATATAATAATCAATAACTTTAGTCGTGCTTTTCAATCCGACCTTATTTTAAGTGCCTCTCTGTAGCCAATAGCATACGAATTTTGTAGAAAGCAGTGTAAACGTAATGTATTCTAAAGACAACATCTATTCCTCTCTTCCTCTCCCAGGCAGCGCAAGGAGCGGTTCAAATACTTCAAGAACATGGGACTCGACGGTCCCCCGCCAAACCTACTACTGGGGAACTTAGGGGAATACGGGGGCGGGGTGAGTATATCCTTTACTATAAAGAACTAGGATCCCTTCTTTATATTTATTTATTTATTTATTTTGTGTGTGTTTATTTTTTGGTTTGTTATTTATTTATTTGTGTCTTTGTTTATTACTTTCATCTAAGACACACTGTATAGTCTAATTTATTTATTCATTTATTTATTTATTTATTTTGATGGTTATATTTTCAATTATATTTCTGCAACTATAAGGTCAGGATTTGCAGGATTTGTAAAAAAAAAAAAAATATATATATATATATATATATATATATATATATATATATATATATATATATGTTTCTTATAGTGCAATAGTCGTCCATATGTACCATTTCTTTGGGAAAATTGAACAGTTTCGATTAGACATTAAAACGTGGAGAGTTTTTTTCAGATTTCATATAACTATATTTCCTTCCCTACATTTTCATTTGAATTGTTTCGTTTCACTTTTAAAATATCTTTTTTATCTCACACAGAACATTGCAGAGGGGATCGCTAAACTCACAAAGAAATACGGGAAAACTTACGGGTACGTACATCTTGCATCTTCTTCATACCAGGGTCATGATCACAAATTGATTTTTTTTACGAGATCTTCACTGAAATATCTCTGGCTAACCCGTGACACAAATCTCTGTGACGGAAAAGTTCACATATCCTGATACAAGATGCACCTTGCGTTTGTTGGTATATTATATACACCTTTGATTTCCCGTTTAATGAAAATGTACAGCTTTCGTGTACCGGTACCATGAAATATACATGGGTTGTACATATTTGAATTTTTGCCAACTAGCCCCCCCCCCCCTCCGTTCAGAGGGGTGAGGAAAAGGTAGGGTGAAGGATAGAGAAAAAGCTCCCCTTTCCATTATAATCATCTCAGCACGTTGATCATGTTTCAGGATTTTCGAGGGCCCGGTACCTTGCGTCATCACCACGGACTTGGAGCTTCTGAAAGAGGTGTTTATAAAGCGATTTAGCTCATTTCACGGAAGGAAGGTGAGTGTTAATTAATTAATTAATTTATTTATTTATTTATTTATTTATTTATTTATTTATTTATTTATTTATTTTGAGAAAGAGAGAGAAGGCTCCGAAAATGTTTTGGTGTTTCGAAGGGCAAACCGTGCCTTTGGTACAGTTTAGAACAATGATTCAACTAGTCAAAATTCTAATTTCAAGAGGGGAATATTGGTGTGATATATTTTTTAGAAACCGAAGGGGGGGGGGGTCCTGACCCCCTCTTAATCTGCCACTGTTATTATTATTATTATTATTATTATTATAGCCAGTGAATACGTACCGTACCTTAGCGTTGCTGTTTTGTGTCTATTGCAGTTGTTTCCCGTTCAGCCGGACCCTGAGGACGCTCACGGCATCAGTATGGTTACGGCAGTAGGACCACGCTGGAAAAGACTGCGCATGATCACCAACCCCACCTTCTCCGTGTCCAAGATGAAACAGGTGTGTGCGTGTGCGTGTGCGTGTGTGTGCGTGTGTGTGTATGAGAGAGAGAGAGAGAGAGAGAGAGAGAGAGAGAGAGAGAGTATGTGTGCGTGTGTGCTTGAATGTGGGGCTATGCCCATGTTGAGTTTATGTGCGTGTGTTCGAATGCATGCTCCTGGTTGCTTTTAATTGTGTGTGCATTTTGCACATATTGGACATGAGTGTGCGTGTACGTTTACGGGCTGAAGACAAGTACACTTGTACCGTAAGCCTTGAGGAGGAAGTTCATCATTATCACATTTCACACAGAATTTATTTATAATTGATGTTATGAGTTAAATTATGTCATGAATGAAGTTATAGGTATTAAGGGCGACGTGCATGTAAATCAGTTACTTTGACTCTGCCTTTCTACTACAATTTATTTAAAGCCCCTGTTACACTGAGATTGGAGAACGGTAATTTGTCCACGCGTGTTTATTTTCCATGTAGATGTCGCCACTCATCAATGAAGCCGTGACGTCATTCTTAAAGACGTGTGAAGAGAAAGCTAAAGAGGGAAAACCCTTCGATATCTACAAGTAGGTCTATGTGGATGCATTAAATGTATAGAATGGGAGATATCCTGTGCAATGCCGCATTGTTCTATAAACAGGATAAATATGTTTCAAGTACTAATAAAATGGCCACCCAAATTCTTAAAGGTTACTAAGTATATTTATTATCATCTGTGTGCCTCTTCAGTTTCTCAGCAGTGATCTCTGAGGGCACATTCAGAACAAGTTAATCCACGGACTAACTAGTCCGCAGATCAAACATGGCGCCACCCTCTTTAAAGCGTGCCAATATTTAATTGCCCTACCCCTGCTGTGAGAGGAGGAAATCCACTGACAAGTGTGCGCCATATTTGCTCCGCTTACTAACTAGTCCTGAATGTGCCTGAAAACCCAGGGTGCTTCAGGAAAGCAAATGGGGCAGCAAAATTTTACGCCAATGTTTAGCCGTGAATAATGTTTATTATCTCCCCAGAGAGTACCAAGGATTGACGATGGAAGTCATTGCCTCATGCGCGTTTGGACTTCAAATCAACACAATCCAAGACAAGGAGCATCCGTTTCTTCTGGCCGGAAGAGATTTCTTCAACAAACTTGGGAAGGATTCGATGAAATTCTATATGATGATTCCTGGTAAGAAAGAGTCTCTCTCTCTCTCTCTCTCTCTCTCTGATCCCGGTTCTTCTTAACGTTTAATAATTGTAAAATTTAAAGTTTTAAATGTTCTTTTTTCAACTTATATAATTCAATACGTTAAGTGCCGTTCAGTCGGTGGATCCGGGGACCTTTCTTTTTACCACATAGGAACGTGTCTGACACTTGCTGTCTACATAACACTTAATTGTATAAATCTCTCTACTTGCATTTGAATTTTTTCTTCGTTTCTTTTTTCTTAATTTCATATGTTTCAATAAAATTGTACTTTTATTTGCATATGCTTTTTATTTATTTATTTTACATGTATTTTATTCACTTGTTCAATTTTCATTTATTTATTTTGTTTTTATTCATTCATTTATTTATTTATTCATTCATTTTATCTTTATTTATTTATTTATTTTTTGCAGCCATATTCCCTATCCTGCGGCGGTTATTTTACGCTATGCTGTACATGGCTCAGTGTTACATGCCTAACGAACCGTCCGGTCGCTTACGAAAGTTCGCCAGGGAAACCATCCAGTTAAGGAAATCCGACCCAAAGGTATTAAAGCCGTTTATTTTTGTATAATGCTACTTCTTGATACATTTTACTGATAGATTTCGAATCATGGTTTCTGACGAGATCCACTATTCAAGAAAAATACACCCATTATACGCATCTTTTTCATGACACACGTATTTATTTAGTTATTAAATCAATGAATTATTTATTTATTTCTATTTCCTTAGTACCGAAGAATGGACCTCCTCCAGCTGATGATCGACGCCACCCTGGCGGGTAACAAAGAACAAGTCAGCCGCTCCAACTCTAGTGAAAACGGTGAGCTCTCGTTTGGTGGCGCTAAGGAGCAGGAAGGGACCAACGGTCTAGCTGGTGTTGATGGGGAGATGAACGGCGTCCAGGGTACGGCGGGAGATGTAGCTAATGGCACTGGGAATTTGAAGACCAGCCCGCAGAAGAGTGGATTGTCTAAAGAGGTGGGTGATTCTCTCTCTCTCTCTCCTTTAGGGTGTATATTTGTTCCTTTGGGCGTGCGCGCTCGCGCGTGCTTGAGTGCGGTTCTAAATTGCCCTCTTATCTCTTTTTCATCAAAAACCCCCGTTTCTAGTTGTAATTCAAGAGAAGTACATAAAAAATTAATATTGCAAAAAAATTATTTTACTAGTTTGTGGTAACTTTTACATTTCACACCTGTTTCAGGAAATCGTTGAACAGTGCCTCGTGTTTATCATAGCTGGTTACGAGACCACCAGTACGGCGCTCGGATACTGCTCCCACGAACTAGCCTTGAACCCCGAAGTTCAGAAACGACTGCAGGCGGAAATAGACGAACAACTTGGCGATGAGGTGGGTAGAAGAAGTAGAAACGTATTATTATTTAGGCTATCTGTAAGTTGGTCTATTGATTGGCAAAAGTGTCAAAAGGTCTCGATAGGCATTTATTGATATTTATTTGATAAACTATATCACACGAGGCTTCACAAGTAGAGTCACTTTTATTAATGATCATGGCATGTGGCATTGCCAGAATTAAAATTATTTCCCTGTCTTCCATTCAGTTAAATCATGGAGGTTTGGGAACTCGACGATGCGTCATCGATGATAAGATATTTTAAATCAGACGATGCCGATTACATGTAAAATTTTCTAAAGAAAAATGAAAATGCCGCCTCCTGTATTTTTATTTATATATTTATATAGTCATTCATTTACGAACTAGTACTGTAGCATTGTTTCTTAATATACAGAAATTATTGAAAAAAATATTGAAAAATTAAATTAAAAGATCGTCTACTCGTTGTTTGAAGGACCACATCAATTACGAGACTATCCAGAAGCTGCCGTACCTGGAGATGGTATTCTGTGAAGCACTGCGGCTGCATCCCATAGCAACCACGTAAGTAGCCAATCACAATCGATGTTCTAACTTTGATTAAAACGCCGCAGCATTTAAAAGAAGTTAAATTTGAGTGGTTTCCGTGCTCTGTTATAAAAATGACCATTTGACCGACCCTGTTGCCATCTGTCGACCCTGTCTGATAAGACCTAGCTGACCTTGTTTTAAACTTACAAAGAACCCTTTATGAATTTGGTCGTAATCAACATGTAACTGAACCGAAATCTTTTCAGCCTCTTCTAAATATTGTCTTTTCAAAATTATTGAGACGTTTCTCTCGATTTCGGTTTATTTATTTATTTATTTATTTATTTATTTATTTATTCATCCATCCATTCGTTTATTTACATGATGAAGAACATCTCTAACCATCTGTATTTCAAATTAGTTTCATCAACCGCCGCTGTATGGAGCCGTGTACGGTGAATGGTCTCCATATTCCTGCTGGTCTCTCCGTGCAGGCAGACGTCCTGTCTATACACGCTGACCCGGAAGTCTGGGGGCCCACTGACCCGGCTGTGTTTGAACCTGAACGGTAGGGGGCGTCTGTGTGTGTGTGTGTGTGTGAGTGTGTGTGTGTGTGTGTGTGTGTGTGTGTGATTGCTTGCTTGTTACTTTATATATGCTTTATATATGTGCATGTGTGTGTATTAAGAATGTATTTGTGCGTGTGAATGTGTGTGTGCGTGCGTGAGTGTGCACGTGTTTTTGCTATAAAATCTTTCGTCAAGAACTTCAAAATTGAAAAAAAAAAAATCTTTTTAACCGAATTCCTTTATATGTAGACCCTATTTGACTCAAAACTCCTCACTTTTTTTCGGAGCGATTTATTTACATGCGTGTTCCTGTTTAGTTTCAGCCCAGAAAACAAAGCCACCCGTCACCCCATGGCATGGCTCCCGTTCGGAGCAGGCCCCAGAAACTGCGTGGGCATGAGGTTCGCCATCTTGGAAGCTAAGATCGCTCTGGCAAGAGTTCTGAAACACTTCACCATCGAGCGCTGTGCCGAGACAGAGGTGCCGCTGAAGAAAGTAGAGCGCGCCACCACCGTCCCCATGAATGGAGTCACCGTGAAGCTGGTAAAAAGAGAGATTTGATTCGCTGAGATAATTTATATTTTTGAAACGAAGCATTTGATTTGATAGCGGAGTTGGAAATGTTGTGGGAAAAAGACATGTCGTTGGAACGCAAAAAAGAGAGGTGCACTTTATCTACTTTATTGGCAGTGATTTCAGTCTCTGTAATAATCGTGAAACAGGGATTTTCAGTGGCTGAATTAGTAAGGGACCAACATGTCTGTCACTATTTTTATTTGAGGAAGTCACGTGATGTAAATGACGTGTATTGACGTGGTTTGAATTATTAGATGGATAGAGATCAAGATTTAAGCACACTGCCAGAACGAGAATCCTCAAAATGCGCTAATTCACTGTTTATCAATGTTCTGAACAAAGTACTTTTTGATTTTTCGTTTAATTATTGTTATTTATTCAGGTAGGCTACTTCTTTATTTTATATTGTAATGATGGAAATTAAATTTCAAAATACCCCGTATACTAGCAGATATTACTACATACATTCCTCTAACCGTATAGTCTCTATTGCCTGTATTGTTTTGGTAGAATAGTTAGCGTCGTTCTCGTGGAATATACTATTGCACTATTTGTGTACAGTCGTATTAGTATATCATTAAGTCATTTAATTAAAGCCTAGCTATTATGCTACTGCATTAAAACACTCACTCACGCCGTTATTACTGATATCACATAAGCTAATTTTTATCCTCGTCACCCAACTGAGTGAAAATATCTGTACTTTTACCATTATGTATCAAAAATGTCTTATAAAATCTACACATATGGTATTAAGGTGTACAATTGTTGTGCTTAATATAAATAGGACGTGTCTGAATGTATGTAATACTCAGTATAGCTGTAACGTTGGTTATCTAACATTGTATTGTTTATTAACACGTGGTTTGGCGAGTAAAATAAATTTTGTGCTTTACCCGATGTTTTTTTTTAATATTGAGTTGAGTGTATTGGTATACGAGTGTAGAGCTTTTAGTGCGTCTTATCTTGGTTCACTGGATTAATCGATGTGCAAGCCGCGTCATTTTACAAACTATCCCATAATATCAGAGGCATATCGTCTGCATGTAAACTTTACAATCAGATATGAGAATACATGATAGAAGTAAGCAGCTCATGCCCCTGGTAAAAAATGGGAAAACGATGCAAAGTGCAACCGATGAACGTGATGTCCAAGAAAAAAAAGGTGAAGTTTTAGAGCAATATGTTAAAATGAGGATGTTACAGTATTAATCAATATCATCGTCATTGCGCCGTTGTTTTATTGTATTTTCTCAAAAAGGTTATTTTAAAAAAGAACTTAGAAATTCAGATAAAAGTTTAGGGAATCAATAACCGAAATTAAGTGGTCGTGTTTAGTATACGGTGTTTTTGCCATACAATCACATATATTTAAGTCATATTCGAAAAATGTTGCCACCGACGAGCACTAAAATTGGGCTCTTGTATCTATATCTATATCTGACATCCTTTTATTCAAGATCACTTTTTCATAGATTCATCTTAAAGAATACGCGTTACTTTGAATATTTCGTTTATCTCTTTTAAGAGAGATTAACATGACTTTTACACACTAGGCCCACATGAAAATTACAATTTCTACAGTACAGTGCTAATAAGTTAATTACCCCCTTATAGCTTTTAGTAGGTGGGACAGGCATTTAAGCTGGCTAATCTGACAGCAATCTAGTGAGACTCCCCACGGGGATAGATCGATCTAAAATCTGTGGGAATGCAGTCTTAGTCAGTCTGGGTCCCCATAACTAGATCAATCTAACAGGATCGATCCATCTCCGAGGGGTTTCTCGCTAAACTCCAGCTAAAGCGGCTAAGATGTCTGGCACGCCTACTGCAGCTGCTAAACGATAATTAATTACCCTTAGAGAAGCCACTGAGCAGGATCTGCAGTATTGCTTTTTCTGGTGCCTGTTCCCATATGCCGCTGTCCATGGCCAATTGTGCTAGTTGTGATCTGGCGCAATGGTTGTGTCTCGGCTCACCTGAGACAATCGGCACTCGACAAGAACGGTTGATTATCTGAGTGTGTGTTGGCAATAAGAAATGCTTGAATTCTCTCTCTCTCTCTCTCTATCTCTCTTTCTCTCTCGTATACACAATTGGTGTGCGCGTGCGTGCGTAAGTGTGTGCTGCATATTTTCATCAAAACATCTTTCCTAGTTGATTTTAAAAAGAGTAGAAAAAAATTTACATGTAAAATTTTATTCAACAAACGTGATATTTTTCTCTCTCCCCTATTTGCAACGTCACATTCAAGTGTTGTAAATAACTAAGTAGCTTTCAAAGATAATGTTTGCCAGGAGCTGGGTAAAAACTGAAAAGAAAGTGAATCATTTTAGATAACGCAGAGCTGTCATGATGTCGCATTATTAAAAATTTCCTGGTTGTCTTACGGACCTTGGCTTGGCTTGTACTTATTTAAAAGTTAGAACCATAAATTCTTCGAAAAGGCAAAGGAATGTGAAAGTCCCAAGGAAACGTACGAAAGCTTTGATAACGTTTAAGATACATTAATTGAATAAAATGGAAATACTGATCGAGTTAGCTGGCACTTTGAGCAAATTCTGGTTTCTCCATTCTTACAATAAGTACAGCTATCGATCTTCTAACAACCGTTTCACATTGAGCAACATTTCGCCAAACTGAACAGATTTATAAGCCAAGTAAACACAGTGCAATGGTACAATGCATCACTAGATGATAAGTAAAACATGCATAACAAAAATATCACACAGCCTGAAGTTCCCACGGCCCATTTTTTCTTTGAGCTAACTGGGTCACGTACAGGCAGTTCTAATCGCCTGCAATATTCATAAAATTGCGGTGAACATTGTAAACACGCCCAGAAATGGCGTGACTTGGTCTGATGTTCATTAAGGCCTGACGTCAGCGCCTTTCACAGGCGCGTTCACACTAGGTTGGTAATTGGCGTCTTGAGCGTTTAAAAGCCCTTCCGTCACGCGCTTGGCTGGCTTAACGTTGCACAGTAGCACAGTGATACAGCAAGTATCGGTGCCAATGGATTTATTTTATTAATATTATTATCTTAAGCCAATTTTGGACTCCTGTCAAATGCACGGTTATTTCTACGTCACTGCGTCAGGAAGTGGCGATGATCGGATGAAAAAGCGTCAATCACCCGTGAAAAACCGCATTAACGGAAAACCAATCAAAATAATTTGGACTTTTTTGTTTGATTTCATTCTAGGAAAAGATCCCGCGATTTGTAATCAAGTGCCCTTCTTGTTAAGGGATAATTGTACATGCACCGAACGCTATCTCTATGCCCTCGTGGAACCCCACCCCACTGTTTGTTAAAGGTGTGGGTAACCGCAATACTTATGTGTGTGTGCGTATATCACGACCCAGGCGGTTGCCTCACCCTGAATTGTACTGCATCTCGCTGCAAACACCCCGAGAATCCAGAGGATATGGAATACCTTTTGCGTTCCTTGTAATTGGCCTTATTTTTCGAGCGTGATGCGTTATTTGAGCCCAATATTCTGCGTGAATATGACTTTCTTTTCGTTCGGATAAGATTTGACTCTGATTCAGGAATTCGATACTCTTAATATGACTTTCTTTTCGTTCGGATAAGATTTGGCCCCGATTCAGGAATTCTATGTGATTGGTGATAGGCCTGAATATATCTTTGTGATTGGTGATTGAGCTATTTTAATCTTGGTGATTTGTGATTGAGGGGGTATTCCCTACCCTCGTTCAAGGGGCGTATCACAAACCGCCCTCTGTAAAACCCCAGTGAGCCTGGGAGGCGTCTTGGACGTGTTTCTCTGGGTGCCCGAGAGCGCAGGAAACGACTGAGCCGCCAAGGTCTGCTTTATTCTAATCACTTTTTGTAATGTTTCTAACAGGAATTTAGTTTTATGTGCTATTGTACTTTATTGGACACACTGCCAGCAAACTTTAACTTTTTTCACTTGCCATTAGATGTTTAAAAAAAAGCTACCGTCGTATTTGTTTGGTTTTCTATGCTACTTTCCTGGTAAAAGCAAGGGTTTCGAGTGATAAGCGCCTGTACTTGATTGACAGGCTATGATAAGGATGCTAGAATCATAAGGGCATGTACTTGATTTCGTTAGAATGCAGGAGTCGTAAGTGCTTGTATCCTACTCGATTTAGTCATTTACTCGGCACGCTTTCAAGAAACTTATGTCTCGATATGACAGTGCCTTATAATGTTGATTAGTTTTTGCGGAAATCCGTTAACTATTTGGTGAGGCAAATGGATACTCTTAATATGACTTTCTTTTCGCTCGGATAAGATTTGACCCCGTGACCTAACACGTGACATCGCACGATGATCAGTTCACTTTTTGAAGGATGTCATGATGGAACGATGGGCTAACTTCCTCTTCCTTATCTTGTGTTAAAACTAAACATTCTTCTTCCTTGTTGTAACGATTATCAGGATTACAGAGCATAAAAAAAAAAACAATGTAATTAGGACCAAGATAGAATCTAGTGATGATTTATCATAACAACCGCGTTGATCTTGTTTTAGCAATTGATTTTTGAAACTGAAATACATCTCTAAAGTTCAAATAATAATGTATTCAACAGTCCCCTAAGAAGTCGGATATATATGCCAAAAGCTTGGGCGTTTTAATCTAGTTTTACCTAGTTGATCTTAATGGACGCATTTTAGCTAAAGGTACTCTTAGTGGGTTTGAAAACCCTCCAAATGCTTATTTCTGAGATCCACAGCTGCTTCCACTGTATTAAAGCTTACATTACGTACGTTTTAAAAATGATTTAATCCCTTGAATGCACAAGTGCGATATACAAGTTTCACAATTAACTGATACACATTTCTTTCTTTTTTTTAAACCTTGCATTTAAGTTATTTTGTTTTAAATTTGTTTACATATGTCTTTTAATATTCCTTTATTCGTATTACTAGTGGTATTATTCAACTACGACGCAATGATTGTAATTATCCAACCCTTGGGTTGCAAGTTTGTTAATAATAATATTTTTAATAATAAAAATGATATTTTTTCTGGAGCGTACCTGATGTTGATATTTCAATTGAAGCTTAAAAAGATAATCGCTGGTAAAATTGACTGGCCACTCATTTTAAACTAAATCAGCCTTTATAAATCTAATTGAAGATTGAATCCAAGTACAGAGAGGGATATATAAATGATTTGTGAGTACGAGAAAATTGCTTATTTATCCGGGAAAATCCATTTTAGCGGGTAAATCCCATGGAGTGTCCTATGCAGGATATAATCTGGCGATGCAGTCACGACCAGGGTGGCCGCGGTCTGTTTCTGTTATGGCGGCTTAAATGGAAAACAATTGGTGCAATCTTGTCACACCCGCGGCGTCTATTCCCCTACCATTTGGTTGATCCTTTGCCAAAATAAGAAAGCAACATGAGTTTGTTCTTTTTTCTTTTGTTATGATTTAAAGGGAGATAAAAAACAGTATATTAAAATACATTCAAAAATGAAAGAAAGAAAAAAAAAAACTGTTTCAAGTCTATCGTTCGTCGGACCGAGCTGACGTTTACCGAATTGACAAACACAAAAGTGATTATACCTTTAAAAAAGACGAAAGCAAAATAATTTGTATTTCTATCGTCAAGCCACTGCAGTGAGCGGATAAGCCAATATATCGCATGTTCCTAAAGGCAACCAACGCCGCGGGAACCTCCTTGTTGTTGTGGCGTTAGATAAAGTGGTGTTTTGTTAGTGCAACCCTTTCCATTTGATAAGGCAAATGATTTTACTACAGCAAACATCATATGAGGGATTTCCACTCTTCTGAGAACAATGAAAGAATAAATCTAATAAATCAACAGATCATATAATTAAGTGGAAAAATATATATAAACAAATAAGCAAAGAAATCAATAATAAAGATGTGAAAAAGAGCAAATACATAAATAAGTTGAGTAAATAAAATGTTGGAACTCGAGCAGATCTAGATTAAAAAAAACAAACAAACAAAATGAATGAAATAAATAAAGAAGCAGAGCTCTTTTGCTGGCTTCCCCTGCAAAACTTTGTCTTATTTAACGTTCACTTACGGTTCTCAATCTATTCTAGAACATTTGGGGTATTTTTCAGTTCTAATGTTGTTCTGTAATGAAAGTAACAGTTTGAGAAGTGCTTTGGGACCAACCAGGGTTACAAAATCCTTCAGAATGTCCTAGAACAGATTAAGAGCATTTTTCATTAAACGGGAAAAACATTATGTTCTAGGACAGACTGAGAACCGTAAGTGAGCGTGAAATGAGACAAATTTTCGCAGGGGAATTAACTAGCTAAAATATCGTTGGATTGATGCGTGCAGCGCCCCAGTATTTAACAACAAACACGTCTCACTTTATGATTCGATCTGAGAGAATGGCCTGACTGGGAAGATCAGGCCACTGCTTGAAGAGATAAAATCATTAGAAGATGGGTAAAAATAGTGTCTGCGAGCTCGGCTGTTGACTATTATGTCTATTGATTTTGTCTGGAGGCAAGTGTGCTGTGTTCTGAGGTAATCACGTTTGCATGCACTGGAATAATGCAGCATAACTGTGAATACGAGAGAGAAAGAGAGAGAGTAAAACTAATCAAGAGAGGAAAAGTAAAATATATGAATTATTTAAAATCAATAAAAGAATGGTGGCATAAATCACAAATCTCTCCAACACCGTCCAGGTGAGGGAGGCTCATCAGGAATGAAGTTGTGTATACTAAATCAAAACAGCCAGAAAAAAATTAGTCAAGAAAAATAACATTGCGTACTAAAAATACCAAGTGAGCCAGTCACGTCCGTCGCTCGCACTGAGTCAGACTTGCCTGTAACAGCTTCCCGCGCACTTGGACTCGCCTCTCCACCCGTTCGCGCACTTGTGCCGATATAAATATTGACCCCATAGTGCGCGCCCGTGTGTCTGACATTTACCGAGGATCAGGCCATTTTACCCTGAATATCATATTACTATTACCTGCTCTTTAACAACACGGCCAGGTTTTCTCTTCTCTCATGTCTGACACAACCCTTGTGCTGGTTATGCAAGCGACTAGATGTTTCTTGTTACAAAATTATTGTAAAATATATATCAGGTTTCTTACGCATATCTTGGTTACATGGGCTGGATTATCATAGTTTTAGTAGTCAGTATGGGGATCGTAGCCAGCAGATTGTTACTCGTTGCCATGGAGATATTGTATGGAAACATTGCCTCTTTGTCTACCTGTGCATGCTTGGGATTACAGTGTGGAATAAGTCGTATAAGAAATTAGCGCGATTTCAATTTGTGTGTTTTTTTATGTTTGATGTTGCTCTTCCCTTTCGATCCAAACAACGTAGATATAGGTATTGTAAATCATTTAATTAAGGTACAATTAGCTGATACAAGACTTCAGACTGCGTCAGAAATGTAAGCGTGTCTCCCAGGGTGGCAAATCCCAAGAAAATGTCTACTAGTGGCGGGAATGCGTAGTGTTAGTTACTGGCACGGTGAGTTCGCCAGGAATTCTTAGACGCACACTGGGAACACGAAATATGGGGAGAGATGTATGTTTTCACTGGCTGTTAACCATTCAGTTTCACTTATTAATTTTTATTTCATACTTTTTGTGAGCGTGTCTGGTGTTTTATTGGTTTTATTGATTTTAATGATACACAAGTTTATATGATGTTATCGGTTGCATGATTGCCCTAACAATTACAAAAAAAGTGTATTTGATAATTAACATAAATTTATTTTTAGTCTAAAATCCATTTTAAAAATGTTCATTAGACTTAACATAAAAATTCGTACTTAAAGCACAATAACCAAGATATGTAACAAAAATATTAGGAAAGATTAAGATTCTTGGTTAACAAGACGGCCTAATTTTTAACTAAAAACCAAATTACAAATAAAATGATAAATAAAAACAGCTTAATTCTTACAAAAAATTAATTACAATAAAAAAATCAATAGTGAAATTTCTTTATATGTTTTTAACTCACTGCAAAAATTATCCAGCTGCCGCCCTTTTTACAATGAGGTTCTCCACATACTATATGCATATTTTGTAATTCAAATATGATTTTTATCCTTTTCTTTTTATTAATTATATTTTATTGTTTTTAATCTACCATCAGAATTGAGCGTGATTTACAGCAATAACATTGACAGTGGATAACGAACTTTTGCCGTGTCAAATTATTATAATCTTGTATTTGTATTTTAAACTTAGAAAAAAACAATGCAACAAATGTGATTTCCTCACTCACACTCTCATTCTGTGCAGTTAAATTAACTGTTTCTGATATGGATTTGTTTAAAACTTACTTCATGTGAAATACGACTGGATTACTAACATAAACATGTCTCATTTCACACCCGGTAGATCAGTAAGCAGCCAACTACACGGCAGACACATGCGGTAGATCTTTATCGTTTGTTCTGCTTCAGTTGCAGCAAAGTGCCCGAACTTTCTCTCCCCGCTGTGGAAGTGAGGGTGTGAGTGCAGCTTGGAATTTACCGTGAAATGAACAACGACTCTGACCTCATTCCACACGGCGTCTGTTACCCAATAAAAACAGCAGAGGGTTCTCAACTGCGCATGCTCACTGAAATGGATCACATTCTCTCAATGGTGAAAACGACAACTAGGTCGCACAAGCCGAGGAACGGAAGAAATGGATTTGGTTGCTAACTCAGTGGGAGTGACCTTATAATCGGAAACTACGATACGTTTGACCTCCGAGAGGAAAGCTAAATACGGGGATACACGCCGGTTTTTTTTTTCCAGTCACTGTGCTTTTTATCAGTGTTTTGTAGAAAAACGTTCACTTGTACTCCAACAACGAGATCGCTTCGTCCTCGTTTCCCGGAGTGCAGTTTAATAGCTCTAGAAGTCCGAAGAATCCTTCTAGCGCATCGATATTTCCACCGGCAGAAAAAGAATCAGCCGATTTCTTCAGGCGTTTACATCTCAAAGTAAATATATTTACCACTCCAAGGAATTTCTCTCCTGGAATTTTTAACTAGCATTTTACTAGAAATCAAAGACAATATTACAAAGAAGTTGTGCGTATTCTGGCAGGAGCTAGTCGTGAAAGAAATAGTTTGACATTTTCTGGTAGATTCCACCGTCTTTTTCTTAACAGAACGAAAGTGGGCAATTAAGGACAACTATTCCAAATTTTGCCAGAGTGGTTTTAAGGTCTTAAATAAGTCTCATTGGACTAAACGTTTACATATTTCCCCCCAGTCGTCCGTCTCAAGTATTTTGGCCGGTAGAAGTTTGCGGTTGTTTACCACGCTGAACTTTTTGATTGTTTCACCACGTGTGTAAAGAGTAGCTAACGTTTGTAAGAATGCAGGCAGAGTCATAGACAGACTCATAGTAGGAGTGAGAGCGAGGGAGTGGCGGCGACTACAACACGGCAGATGAATTATTCCCTTTCACAATAGCAGGTCGTAAAGACAGAACAACACAGGAGGAAAATTTATTTCCCATCTGGACTTGGGGTATTTTTTAAGGAATCTGAAGCCTGTTTTTGAGTTTTACGGACTCGGCGGTCTTCTCGTTCTTGGAAAACTAGTGTGGCTGTCGCGGCTTGACCACCGGCGAGTGACTTACAAGAGGACATTACTGAGAAGAAAAATCCAATTTTTCTTCTCTCAGGCACAAATACAGCATCATCGAGTCCACGCGGTCAGTGAGCGCTCCCCATTTCATCCCGGCAGATATCCTGACGTCAGAGTTAACCTAACGGTCAAGCCAGGTCTCTGGACCGGTCATATACTGTAGTAACCAGCCAAAGTGACCACTTGGGTAGTGACCTTAAGTTCCCTGGGGGATTTTAACCCGTCTACTGGTATTCCATAAGTCCCCGGAGCCACCGTTCACCTTCTCGGTCACGCCGACCTTCCCGGAGCTTGACCTGAGATTTCCTCTAGGGACAGAGCGCTGATCTTCACCTCGTCTTACCGTCTGTCTCGCCATGCCTCCACGACCACCGGAAAAATCCAACAACGCTATCACCGAGGTTAGTACTGCTGCTGTAGTGTAGAAAGCCTGTAGTCTGGCTTGTACAGTGTACTGTTGTGTGTGTGTGTGTGTGTATGTGTGTATGGGGCAGTGTGCCCAGTTTTTATCGGATTTGATTCATTAGATCGTCTCAGACTGGGAAAGCTTCAATAATATACATGTTGCCACTGAAAACGCACTTATTTATACACACTGAATGTAGTCAGTTGTAGGCTGTCACTTCAGGTGAATTATCATTATTATGTGGAAGTGGAATAATACAAAATAGCGTCCTTGTTTAAGTTGCTTATATCTCTGTATAAATCACAATATACTTAATTATTAAAAACACATTGATGACGCAATGTATGTAGTCACTGGTAATTCTACCACGTGCGAGCAATGAGTCTCTCTCCATACAGACTACATATGAACCAGGTGTATGGGTCCCCCATACCGTACTATCTGCCCAGAATTCCTATCCTTTGACTAGCGGCTGCCAGCACCCTCTGAGACTCTCTCACGCGGATGAACGCCTTGATACTTGCCTAGGAATGTGTTCAGATAGCCGTCAGCTGAAGACGCTGTATAAAATAACCATTAAGTACATCTACATGTATCTCTGGCACTGACAACAACCTTTGTACATCTATTACATTTTCCCATAACTCAGGAATGCAATATTACGTTCATTATTATAAACAAAGGATGCGGAGGAAAGTTTACAATATAACAATATTAAGTTAACAATATTGATATAAACCATGATATAAAATGATTTATTATAAGATAAAATACAAAGATAGTGCTAAATGCGGACTTGGATACTTTAGCAGTGTATAGACATATATACATTTTATTGCATCTTTCCGGAAGACACTTTAACTATTATATTGGAAGAACTGGAATCTTCTATAAATATTTTATCCTATCATCACATTGTTGCATGATGTAGGTTAATGTCTATGAAATGTGATCGTACACGGCATAGCAGGCAGCCGAGGGGTAAAGATACGGGAACATTGCTTCCCAGCTAACTTGTATAACGCAGTGGTATTCACTTGCCCGGACGCCGCTTACAACACAAACCCTCAGGTGAATTCTTGTCAGGTGCAACATATTTCTCTCACAACCTTGGCTTCGAAATGGCGTTTTTGTGGCTTCATTCTATTTTGTGTTTGGTCTTTGTCTTAATAGCTTCTGTCATTTTCTTAAAGGCACTGTCTTCTATCAGCGTCTACATAATATATGGATGCTTGCGGGTTTGTATCGGATTCGGTCTCAGTGCTATTTCGTGGGGTGAGACAAGGTGCCCGTTAAGGTTGCTAAGCACGCCAAATGATCTATGTGTTTCGGTCTAATTACTGACATTGTTTCACGTCACTCGCTGCATGCATCTAGATCCAAGATCAACCGAGAAATGCTTTCTTACTAGGGGCAAAAGTTTACATTAATTTTGCAGTGTTGAGAACTTTAAAATGTGATTTGAAGATAAAATACATGTATATACTGAATCAAATGGACTAAAATACGGGCGCCAGAAGCTCGGAAATATTTAGAAGCGACAACAGTGAAGACTTGCTGCAAATTGGAATTTTTAACAATGTTTTTTTCAAAGAAATGGCGGCAAAGCGCTAAAAGCATTAGATGCTCTCCATGTAGAACAAAATTAAATAAGTAAATAAATGTGAAATGCCATTTGAACACGGAGAACTATCCAAGTTTTCATACGACAATAGCCGCCCTACATCTCTACATTTACAAACACATAGCCGTCTGAAACAGCCCACATTTCACACACACACACACACACACACATAACCGTCTAAAACAACCCACATTTGAATGATTTCTCCATTCACACACAGGGCCGTAGCCTCCAGGGGGGCAGGGGGGCAGCTGCCCCCCCTGGGATTTAGAATTTTCCACACTGGTAGGGGGACACCCCCTCCCCCCTCGGGGGCTTCGCCCCCTCGTGTCCGCTTACTGCCCCCCCTGGCATTTTGCTCAGGCTACGGCCCTGNCATTCACACACAGGGCCGTAGCCTCCAGGGGGGCAGGGGGGCAGCTGCCCCCCCCTGGGATTTAGAATTTTCCACACTGGTAGGGGGACACCCCTCCCCCTTCGGGGACTTTGCCCCCTCGTGTCCGCTTACTGCCCCCCCCTGTCATTTTGCTCAGGCTACGGCCCTGACACACATTGTAAGGGCACCAACCCCATTTGTTCTGAGAATGCGTGCCAAACACGGGTCAGGCTCCCTTTACTACCGGGTTGAACTTACACCTGACGAACTATTCATTAACCCCAGTGATTTACAACGTCAGGTATGCTGTACGTGGTCTGTAATTGACGAGTACCGCGGGGATGTGTGAGAGACAGGGTGAGGGTGAGGGTTATGTTGTTAATGAGGGACGCTGTATAACACCTTCTCAGGTATATTTACAATACAACTGTCTATAATTAAAGACTTACAGTTGACAGCTATAGAGATAGACGACTAATGTTATATAACTGTGTCAGTGTTCATATGTATGTGCAATAGTAGATTTACCGGCCCAACGCTTTGATCTCTTCTGCCTCACCTTTACTTGTTATCCTCCCCCCCAACACACACACACACACACTTACACACAAACACACACGTACGCATGCGCACACACACCCATTCTAATACACGCACACTAACACAAACACACGTACACACACACACACACACACACGCACACACGCACTCACTGATACACACACACGCACGCACACGCGCACACACACACACACACACGTTCCCAGCCTCCCCAGACAGCAGACGTCTGGTATAGTGTTACTCGGAGCGAGACTGCCATCAATAATAATAATCTCCGCAATTAGGGGAATAAATCAATACATGGCCCCGGAGACCCCCCTAAACGATATACTCTGAGCTGGCACGCCAGTCGGTTCTTTAAAACGGTGCCAATATAACACGGACGTGACTCCAGAACGCACAGTTCAGAGTTTTTAAAGGATTATACGGAACGTGCACGCACACGAACGCACACAACGGCGTATAGGCTAGCTTAGACAAAATGTGTTAATGTATTAGCAGCCGAGCACAGAGAGTCGGGATATTGCTAGTGTTTTATTGGTCGACAAATTGGTCGAGGTAGAACCTTTGGAGCGTTTGTGAACTTTACTCACATATTTCACTGGCCAGAATTCTGTTATGATATGATAGCTACATAGACTGGAGAAATTGTACCTTCTCAGAACTTCAGCAACCCAAACAAAAGGGGATATTATGATGTTAAAATAGTACAGTACACTTGACGTGTTGGGGGTTAGATTGCACTTACACAACATAGTGACATTATGTATATAGCTTTTGAGTGTATACAAAAAATGCACCGAATGTTAGAACCCAATTTGTACGTTAATCAAAGGCCTTTTTTAAGCTCGGTCTTTTTTAAGCCACCATATACGATTAATAGTCTTCACTTTCCCATTATATTTTTCCAACCTACAAGATATGTTAATGAATTTAACTTTCTGCATCTAGTATGGCATAACGTTTTTTTCTGTCTGCATGTAAATTTCCACTCACACCGACGTTACAGAGCTTTAGAGAAGTTAAACCCTGGTCTAAGTGACGTCATCAGTCGTCAGCCCAGCACATATCCACCTGCTCATCAATTCTTATGATGTAGGTGGCGACGCTGGTCTATCTTCTACGCATGGGTATTGCGACGGTCTCGTTTCTTTTTTACACATTTTTAATAGGAGTACAATGAACTCATGAGAAAGTTATAAAATGCGTTAAATTTGCAATTGTTCTATGCCAGAGATTGTCTCGTGCTGCCGGTGCTACCACTTACAGCTAGAAATACGGCACAACATTTCCACACATTAATTTCTATTCCTGCCACAAAGGTATGCCAAGAGACAGGACGAACTTGTTGCACCTTGTAACCGTAAAAACTGTGCCTTGAACCTCCTGTGTACGACTGGTATGTATATATATATATATATCTTTGCTATCACGACAGTACTCTTCAGTTAGTGGGTGCGGCGAATTGCCCCAATTTTGCAACAATTTCAGATTTTTATCCGCAGTCGGAGGGCATGTTTTAAAGATTTAAATAGAGTGAATTCTTTATTTATGGTTATCGTTCGTTGGGAAACAAAGGAACTTTAAGCGGTTCGAATTTTCTGAAAATTCATAATTTTCTTCTTGCTTTTCTAAGAAAAATACCATTTTGTCGGTAATTGAGTAGGGATGTCATTTGAAGTGGTCTGCCTCTGCAGGACGCCACATGACGGATGACCCTTTGTCTCAACTTATTTGAAATTTTTGTTAGAGTGCGCTCCTAAACATGTCAGTGTGTGTGTGTGTGTGCGTGTGTGTGTGAGAGAGAGAGAGAGAGTTTTCTCAAAGGTTCATGTCGGTTTAATTTCTCACTGAACTAAAAATGTTTTACATAATGATGTAGTATGCCTACAAACGAACCCTCAAAACATGACCTCGCATAGATAACGTCTGCAGTGCTATCATACACGACGAACACCGGAGACAGATGAATAATCAAATTGATTATTATACAAAACTGACCGGTTATTGAACCTTACACATGCACAAACAATTGATCGATCGCCTCGTGCATTTGTTTTATTTTCTGACTTCCTTACCCAGCTAATCGGGAAAGAAATGTGTGTTCATTTTAGCATAGAAAGAAGGAGTCCTTGAGGATTTGTTCCCGATTTTTGCCATATGTGCTCTTTATTCAGTATTATTTACACGGCTGATACGTGATCTCCTAACGTATAAAAACATATGTTACTTATAGTAGCAATGTTTTTGGGAGTTTTTTCGTTTCACGGTAGTGTCACACTGAAGGCTTTTAGGTGCTTAAGTGAAAATAATGAAAACTATGTGCGTATTTTTTCTTTGTTGAAGTTACTTGGTGACCTTACAAATTTCTTTTGCAACCGTAATCAGTTCATTTTTTACTAAAAGTCATTTGACCGTGCGTTCTTCGATCGTG